ATCACGTACAAAAATCGCGTACAAAAATCGCGTACAAAAATCGCGTACAAAAATCACGTACAAAAATCGCGTACAAAAATCGCGTACAAAAATCACGTACAAAAATCGCGTACGAAAATCGTCAAAAACGATCACAGTAATGAAAACTTGTCAATCCAAAATTTCAGGATTGCGGGTCCGGATCCGTCCCGAATGTTTTTAATTTGCCCACGGAGTTGGCCTGATTCCAAAGCAGTCTAACAGAATGACCTATAGCATTAAAGTTGAAAAGTTTGACACACTGACACACTGACATTCCCATTTATTATATAAATTTAAATTGTAAGAAATCAGCTGAAATGACTAACCGTCAAACATTTGGGGAAATCACTTCTTAGTCAGGGGAAGTTCTATACAAGATAAAAGAAAAGATACACATATAGAAGAGATTTTTTTTTTTCTGTTGAAATATGATGTATCGCCTCTCTAATACACTGTGGTAGAACATTAAAATGTAGAGATGAAAGATATTTTCTTCAAAAACTTCCAAAAGATAAAATCCGATTAACATTTTTGATAACGATCTACAAATAAATATCTATCAAATATGATCATTAACAAAAAATGATCTTTTAAAATTCTACTCACATGACAATAACAAAATAAAATCGACAGTTATTACAAGATTCTTCTTGATAGCATTTAGAATTTATAGCCCCCATATGCGATGAAGGAATAAACATTAAAATATATATTTAAACTCCTCTAATATCTTAAGACTTTCAGATTTATCACGAAGAGAAGACCTATGAAATGTTCAACAGAAGATACAAAAAATGACAATCTAAGTACATAAAATTACATACGAACTTCAAAATGACAACTGGAAATAACTTATCTAAATGTAATATGATATTTGCCAATTACTTTAAAGCAATAAGAAATTTAATCAACAAAAGAAGAAAACTTTTAAAATTAAACAAGTAATTTAAAAGAAGAAAAGAATGCAGGATATCCCAATTAATGCATACGAGAGACGAATTTTAACTGAAAAATATGCGATCATAGCAGGAATTTGTACAAAACACACTCTATTCATTAGTCGTTCATCGTAACATAATTTCGATTTAAGAATGCAGATTTGATTAAGACAGCATTTGATTAACGCTGCTATGTATTGAAGATGCGCTAAATCCTGAAAACGCTATGATGAATTTAGATCTGGGGGCAAAACATATCTTTGTTCGTCATAAAGGGATAAACTGCTTAGTAAATGAAAGCAATAACGACAGAGGTTGAGAAAAAAAACATTAAAATGACATTCGACATTTAATGTAGTAAATCTACAAAAAAATATATTTAGCATTTCATGCATCATAATCAGAGTAACCTTTATAAAATTATTGGATTAGGTGCATATTGTGTCACAGAAACCAAGCATAGATGTATGTGTGCTTTAACACACGAAACGAAGACTTCTTATTCATATGGAAAATTAATACATCATGCCTGGCAACTATTTCTTTTCCACAGTATTAGTGTACTCACTGCAACTTGCAATTTTCAGTGGAAGAGGCGTCGTTACATTCGCAGAGATCATTATACAAAAGACATGAATATGTATCAATATTTACGTATGTTTAAGTAAAATATGCTGTATGTATTCATATATATTTCTTTATTAAAACATCTTTTACATAAACATTATATATAACTATATATTATATAGTTATTAACACCTGCTGCCTACACTCATGAAAGAATATTTAATGTCAAAAATTATGTAAATTCACAAAGAAGCACCCCATCAAGAAAGGCAACACACACACACACACACACACACACACACACACACACACACACACACACATATATATATATATATATATATATATATATATATATATATATATATATATATACATATGAAAATAAAATATCGTACATTGTGTATTGGTGTTAATAAAATAATTAAGTATATATTAATAAATATACATATTATCCCTCACAGGTAGCACGACTCGGAATTCTATGTACAAGGCTAGCATCAGATGCTGGGTAGAGACCGACTGTTAAATAATTTTAATAATAAATATTTGTTTAACGCAACGCTGGCGCAGTCCATATAATATATGGAGATTACGTATTTTTTTAAATATATACATATACTGCATTTAAAATACGAGATTTATATTTTATATTTAAAATGAATGTAGTTTAGTATTTTGTTGATATATGAAATAAACAGTGATAAATGGTATTTATTAAAAAAATATTAAAATATACGGACCGAAAATTATACATCTATCTATCTATCTATCTATCTATCTATCTATCTATCTATCTATCTGTCTATCTATCTATCTATCAGTCTATACATACATATATATCGGTATTCTTTAACTGACAACTTTGTATACCGAGCCGAAACATGCAGAGAGCCCCCCCACCCGATGAATTACATTGGTTCGAGCGAGGGAGTATTTAAAAGGGGTTAGAATAATCATATAGCTTTGATTTT